GCTGTTTAATGTTAATGTTACGAATTTTAAATAGTTTCTTTCTTGGGCAAGATAAGATCAAACGATTGATCATACATTTTACATCGTCATATAGGTAGTATAACCTCATTTTGATGACCTTATGACGCCAAACTTACTATGACGTAAAATTTTGTCGATGATCTGATTTTATAATGTAGACTTGATAATTAAAGGTTGTTATGCCAACTTAGCTGCATAGCTGACTGTCAGCCTGCACAACTCGATAAAGTCGTCGGAATTATTCAGACTAATCGTTTAATTAAAGTCAAAATTATATTTATTCAAATTGGCAGTAATTTGTTTGAACAGTTCATCTTTTTATACCGTTCATTCAAAGTTTCTAGGTATTAAGAACGACAAGAATATAATAAATATTAATGAGATTTGCAATATCAAACTTATCTACAAAGATTTGGTTGGTTTTAAATTTTCGTTGACATTAACATTAAAGTAATGTTATTTACAATTCCTATTATTCCAGTACCAACATAATATAATCAGCACAGAAATCACAAGTAGCTGAAGATATGAATCTATTATATACTCGCTTTAAATAGATTCTGTATACAAAAAGTTTTGCTCTAATTTTAGATAGTCTCTGAGAGTTTAAAATTGCCCCTCACTATTTAATGGGGTTAGGGAGTGCCTGAGTTTGCGTAGCCCACTTGTCGATCCCTTATTTATGGGTTTATTTTTAAACAAATATCTGCTGAACCTATATCTCTCAATATTATAAAAGACACCATATACATAGTCACTTTAAATTAATTATTTGTTGTCTTCAACAAAAATATTGAATTAACAAATGTAAAATGTTGATTGGTCCGATCTAAAATATTTTAATTATTGAAAAAAAAATAGATTTTTTAAAAGGAATGCATTTCTTAATTGCCGATAAATTCAAATTAAATGAGTATGCGGTTTGTTGTGAAATAAATATCTATCCGTTATTATGGCGGCACGTCTTTGTACCGGTTGTATGCGTCATACTAATAATATACCTGATGTTAATGGAGAGATTAGTGAAAAACATTTAAAATCGAACAAAATTCTAAAGAGCTTTTGCTTAAGTTACTTGTAAAAAATCCCCTTTATACTTAGTCAAATCTATTGTAGATAACCGGATTTTGGCCATTTTAAGATTACAACCTGGTTTTTGTTGTTATTACATCACTGCTGTCAGCAGTATTAGATATGCTATAGTGAAAACTTTTTAATGACTTTCGGCATTTATTGTATTAATATATCCTAAAACGCAGCTGTAAGTTTTCGATAAAATAGATAATGCAATATTGCAGACGAGCGGGTTTTGGCCATTTTAAGATTACGACCAGGTTTTGTCATCATTTACAATAACATATCATTTGCTTAAATTATAAGTCAACAGAAATTACATACATTATGTAAAAAAGATAATAATGTGGGTGAAACATTATAAAAATGTTGCTTGAGGTGGAACGTTATAGTTATACCAGCTGTTGTTTGATGTTCAATTTTTTTATCTATGAAATGTACAGGAGCACTTTATTTTTACGACCTTATAACACTAGTACAGCGTAGTACCACAACATGAAAACTTATGCCGGACCTATTTGATACCTTAGAATAGATTCAACTTCGGATTGGGCAATACAAATTGAATACATATCGAATTTTGGCTGTAGTTAGATAAATATATTTACCTAGTTTCATAAGTAGTTTTTAAAAAAGTATTCTCTTGATGATACTCGTATATTTTTGATTTTTGTCATATTCAAACCATAGAGATTATCATTGAACTTGTTTATGTTTAAGTTTATTTAATATTCATTCATTGTCATATTTACTGATAATACATGTACTATTTAAGTGTCGTGTCCAGCAGTTATAGGAAGGCAAATAAACAATAAATTAATTAATTATGCCTAATTGTAAGCATGTGATCTTGATTTGTTTTCTGTTGCTGTACCAAAATAAAATAAAATAAAAAATAAATAAAAATAACATTCCATGACACCTCGTTTATCCTATCAGTATCAACAATTACATAATCCCATATTTTTATGAATTTTATGAAAACACGTTTGTACTTCAAATATTGCTTTGACGTCGTCAAATGCAATTCAAGTTATTTATGCTTTATTAACAGGTCTATGGAACGACGATAACGATGTTTTCGTGTTTTCTGTTCGCCAAATTTCAATGTCATTTTTACTAAAGCTAATTTGATAAGACTACCGCAGATGTAAACCCGTTGGGAGTATGCCTCACTGAGTTAAGATTACTCAAATGATTCAGGGTATATCCGCACTCGACACGCACAAGAGATTTTACTTAGGCATCAAATTAAGATATCCAAAGATAGAAAACATGGACGTTTTACGAATATCAAACTTAATAAATATTTGAAAATATTACATAAATTGTTCATATTAGAAGAATAGTAGCTTAAGCCGTTATATTCCGGAGTATGAAACAACCAAAGTACCATAACACCTAGACCCGAAACTTTATAGAAAACTTCATTTTCTAGATTAGCCTAACTGGGAATCGAACACGAGACCTCAGAGATAGCGACGCCTTAAAATCAGTGTGCGAACCACTCGGCTATAGAGGTCGTCTGGATGAATGTCATTTAACGTAATAAATCTAAGGTTTAATATTATATGGCCCGAAAAAAAATACGGCCCCAAAAGGAAAGTGTATACAGGGGTATACTTATCTGCATAACTAATTACGGGAGTATAATTACCTCTTTTTCAAGGTAACCGACATCCGAGCATTCTTGTTAACGCACGCACAATTTTGTCTTCGTCTCCTTTTTTTATATTTGAAATTAATAAATCAATTTTGAGTCTCATCATCACCAGCTTATTACCACGCTCTTTGCTGGGCTTCTGTAGAGCGACCACGTAATTCCTCTAGCTATTGCTATAAGAAACTTTTAATGATTTTATCAATAAATACGTTAGGTTTGTCTTATAATATATTTTTTGTTATTTACATTTTTAATCAATCATTTCTGAAAAAACTTTGTTTATTCTGAATGAAAAATGGTTAAAAAATCTACTTGGCCCTGAGGTACTCTGAGATGGGACTCGAACACACGACCTTTTTTAAACTATGGATAAAAGTGATATATAGCATAAATAACTTCAAGGCATCTTTTGTTCGTTAGTAAACTTATTTAAGCGTATTGCATTATTTTCTTAGCTATACGAGCTTTCTTTCATATAAGGATATAGGGACAGTCCAATATATTTTCCTGTACGTGAAAATTCGTCATAGAAGCAAATAATTTCTACATATGCCTACTTCTTATCTATATATGATATATATAAGCATTTCTCATTAAATATATTTTCCAGTATAGTATTGTGAATGAAAAATTGATCAAATATAATAATAAGCTTTGCTTAGCTACATTCGGTATTAGCTTATGGCTAGAGTTATATAGAGAGAGTTAGGCAATCGCTCTGCAGGCCATCGCTATGGATGGAACCGAATCTAAGGGATAAACGAAAGGGATAACGGGCCACCACGGTTGGGTCAATTCTGACACATGAAATTAATGACATTTTCATTAATTTCATATTCATCTTTATATAGATAAGCTTTAACAAAGAAAGCACGAATGAAATATATGAAAATATGAAAATGTCTAATATATTTTACCTACCGCCCATTCAAGTCGTCTTTCCAACTTTGGAGTTCTGGTTTCGTTAATGGTTCTTTTCTTTCAAAAATATAGTCGTATAGGTGTGTACTCTACCCTATTGTGTATACTCAAATAAGGGTTAATGTTTGTGAACAAAATGAATAAAGACAAGTCGTCTTTACAATATAAATTTATCGATAGTAGGAGATCTGGTTTCGTTGTTAGTTAATTTCCTTCTTAAGTACAATCGAATTATTAGTATTTTAAAATTATGATTAATCTAAATATATTTGTGAGCAAAATGAATAAAGAAAAAACTGAATTGATGCCAATGGAAAAAAAAAGATATTTTTATGTGTTAAAAAAAAAACTCTAATATCCTCAAAGATCTCATATTTTAAGCATTAAATCCGTTTTTTATATTTCTCATTAAATACAACAAATACAACAACGGCAGAAGGCAACAATTATATCCCGCAAAACTTTCTGTCTGTCATCAAAAAGCTTCTCTAGTGGTACCTATTTCTAATTGATAGTTGTACTATTATCCCTTCCCGAGGTAATATAGAGGACACCCACAAATGAGCAAAGTATGACCTCAATAATATATAAAAACAACGATTAATAACTGACGTTCGTGTGTACTTCCGAGGAAGTTAGAAAGGTCGCCCGGCTCACTGATCGATAATTGCTCGATATATGCCGTAAACATATAATTGATAAAATCAATTAATTAATTAAATTAATTTTTCTGTTTCTTTTTTAAATAATCACCAATATTTAAATTTTATTATCATACTAAAATATTATTTATTTCATAACATATGTGAATGGTGGAGATGAGTTATTAGCATTGAATAAAAACCTAGTGTTAATATTTGTCTATATATTCCTAAAAATTTAATAAAATATTCAGCATAACATTCATAAGCTCAAAAGCTTTAGCTTGCATAATAATTTTACTTGATCCTTTGTAACAAACGATTGTTGTGTATTTAAAAAGTTTAAGTTAAAGGTTTTGTCTTGTTTTCGTTATGATACATAAAAAGGAAATTTATGTTTAAAGGCTTTTTTAAATAATATCACAAGGAATGTTTTTAAAGTATAAGTAATCTACAAGCATAGGGCTTGATAGTACCGAAAAGATTCTTAATCAACAATAAATTAAAATGTATTTCTTACTTTTCTAACCAAAATTTTATAATCTGCCGTTCATTCTGAGTTGATAAAAGTTTGATATAAATAGATTAGAGTACAAAAAAATATCGATATCGATTATATAGTTGTCACAACCTTATTTATCTTGCATCTTATCAAAAAGTTGTAGTAATGCTATAAATTTATTAAGTTAATAGGCCCGTTTACCTGTGGTTTGTCTTAGTTCTTACAATGCAAGGCAAGAGTAGAGTCGCCATGAGCGCAGCTGCTCTAACAATTTTGAGGTGAGATGTTTACGTGATTTTCGGTGATTTTATAATAGATAAAATTTAGTCTGTGAAAATAAATACATTGTTAAAAGATAAGCCTGGTAAGTGAAGTGTATTCATAATGAAGCATGTTTTCAAGGTAAACATTAATATTAATTTTTATTACTATATTATTCGCTATCGTAGGTAGACGTTAATTACTGTGAGTAAACAAGAATACAATTGAATAATTTTGTATATATAAGTCGTTAATACGAGTCGTTCAAAATAATTAAAACTATAAATATTCATAAATGAACTGAATGAAAATTATATTGAATATTGTAAACGATTAAAAATAAATTGTTTTCATAATTTTTAACACCAAAATAGATTCTTGCAAAACCAAAATAGATTTTTGCACTTTGCATTAACCCGAACCGCGTCCTTTTCGAATTCTCTGAAATCCTTCAACAGATAAATTACAAATATACATTCTATGCAATTTGAATAGTTCGTAATATTGTAATATATCACTTACTAAGATTTTCATTAAAGTAGCCGAGAAAAAGACTTCATAACATCAATAGCAAATATTGCATCTACATTTTATAGTTAGGACACATATGTCCACCTAGGTGATGAATACCGACTCCACATATCTCGATTTAATCGAGCTAGTCCCGCTTTCAAGTTATCTAATCCCATTGTCCTAAACGAAAACAAAATATCTACATAAAGAGACCAAACTATAAATTATGAAATATTGAAATGTTTAGTGGGATAAAAAGTATTCTGTTATCTTTGTCAGCTAATACCCTTTCTGATATCAAACTTCCGTTCAAAAATCCGATCAGTAGTTTTGACGTGATTTACGGCCAAACATCCAAACAAAAAACTTTTACATTTATATCATTAAAAGGATAGATCATAATATACCAGTTGTTGTTAGTCTTTTGTTCAAATTGATAATGAAAAGGACAAATGACAAACATACTTCACTAATGAGTGCAAATTGAAAGCATTTGGATACTAGTGTTCGATACTTGAACGAGTTTGATTCATATTTACTTTTCATAGTTATTTAAAAATTTTAAATATAAACTCAAAATATTTTGTATCCGAATTTGTTTTTAATAGTGAAATTTATATTTTTCACTAATTACTCACTTATTACTATTAATGGGATTCTCAAAGATAAACAATGATCAACTATGGTCTGATGATTTTAAAACCATGAGTCTAAATTACCTGCTAAAACAGGTGAAATTCTTGATCGTAAATTTTTTTATAGTTACCTAACCTCGGTAATCGCAAACAAAGCACTAACTAAATAGTACGTCATCAACAACAACAACAATTGTATGTAATTAAAAAATGATTTAGTCTAGCCGAGTATTTAGTCAAAATAATTTTGACGCTTCATTTTGTGGAATACTAAATATTTGTCTCTATTTGTTTCATTCTGACATTGTAGTCGGAGAACTAGATATTCCTTTCAACGTGTTTAATAACTTGATTGAAGTATGTGAATACTAAAGATGCATACCTGACAGTGGGGTAATTGCATTTAGCCTCATATAGTTTAAGTGTATATGTAACCACAAAAAAAAAATTGTTACGATAAAAAATGTTGGAGGCATTTCGAAATTTAAAAATGTACTTTTATATGTAGTTTTGAAGAAATAAGAAAATATTTGTATATAATAAAAATATTTTTATATGCATTATATATAGGGCTTATAAATTTGACAAGCGCATGCATTCTTTTTAGTCAAAAAGATGTGATCGAGACTCATTAAAATTTTAGTATGCATTACATTGTGGATGCTACACCAATATCATGTGTAATAAATTAGGCGTGACTCAAACACTTTTTTTAGTAATAACAAATGTTGTTTTTGCAAACACCTAGTAAGGTAATAAACCCAGTCCTTTGTTCTTGCTTAAATATCTTATAATTTCATAAATCCTAAATTTAATAGTATTACAATGTCAAAGTTGTTGTCTAAATACCATTAGTCTGCTGCTATTATGTCTGTATGTTTAGTATTCACAATTTACTAACAAGCTAGTGAAAGATATTGTATAATGCCTCAAACATTTCCCAAAAAATGTTTACCAGCTCTTAGACTATTGCGATTTATTCTCATTATAACTTCACCTTTATGAGTAAAAATTATGCTAATTGACTCTTCACTCTATTTCAACCTTTATTGACATTATTATACGTTCCGATTTATTCAACGGTTATTCTATTGTATGTTAATTCGTTAGTTAATTTGCATATGCATGAAAAGGAAAAGAATTTTTCGTCCGTGTTAATTTATTAAAGTCTGTTACACTTTTCCATGCGACTTAAAATCTTAATTTGTCTAATGTTAAATATTTTTGTTTTAATAAAACATTGCAATAAAAAGTGAATTGACAGTAACTAACTAGTTAGATATTGACAGGTACTAACTATCTATCGAAAATTTCGTCGTCATCAGTTCACAGGTTTGACCAGAACTTCATTTATAAGTATACGCAATAGATAATTTAAATACGCATTAGAAAATTTGTATAAAATATTGTCAAAACTATTTTCAATAACATCTTATTACATTATTGATTCACAATTAACAAACTTTAGTAATATCTATTACTTAAACATAATGAAACAACATCAATCAAATAGTTAACAAACAACTTTAAGAGATTAAGAGAATTACATTACTTAAATAAGTGCGGTTTAAGAAGTTTGTGCACGGTTTCTTGTAAGAAAGAGTAATATAAAAATTATGTTATACTAATGGTAATATAAGATAAACTGTGTTGTTCAACATCATAATAATTTAAACTCAGCCATGTTTAAAAATATCTAAAAAGTAATAAGTTTCTTGACGAGTTCTCTCTGTAATGATTCATTAGTAATACCTATATGAATATTGCAGAGAAAAAGATTAGGTACTGTCTTTAAGATTTGTATTTACTCGAAGTAAAGAACACCCGAAAACAAATTGTTAACTGAAAATGCCCTCAGTTGAAGTACTGAAGATACCTTTACCGTACCTACGATACCTTTACTATTGAAGTGCATTTTAATCAATTAAAAATTGAAATATAACTTTCGGTTGTAAGTAACGAAGAGGATTTGCAAAAAGGGGACTTAAGATTTGTCTCTTTACAAGAAAGAGGTTTTATTAATTGAGTGATACTATTTGCAGTATTCTGTAGTACTTTATATTTAAGTATACATATTTTTTTTTTGCTTTCAAATATAGTTAATAAAGTGACACTATTAATCCGAATCGCACTTGACCTATTTTTTAATCTTCTTATTACATAACTGCATATACAAATACATAAACGTAATACACATATGATGATGATCTTCATAAACATTCTAAGAGAAAAGATTGAACTTTCCGTTTAATCTGATGGAGTCAGCATTATATAGTCGTTTTAAGCATTATAAAAATGTTAAATAAACTGTTATACGAATAGTTTTATTTGATTTTTATAAACCTACCTAAACTTTTTCGTATTTTTTTTATGACAAATTGTACGCTTACAAGGGAAATCATAATTTCTGTGGTTTGAATAACAAATCACGTATGCCCTTATCACACAAACAGTAATGTGACGATTATATTAATGTTATCTACGCACATAGGATTAAGATTCATCTGCAAATGCATTTCTACAAAACTGCAAAATTTACACACGGTTTCGTGTAATAGATAAAATTATAATCTCGATCTATATACCAGTTGTACAAACGTCTCTAGGTTTAATGATGACTTTAAACTCTAATCAATGTACGAGTTGATAATTTGTAACTTTAATGTCACTTTAAACTAATGGCAATTTTGACCTTAATACAACTAAGTGTTAGTATAACAAATCGAATGGTACATTTAAAAACAGAGCCAGTATTTTTCTTAATAAATACCTAATATAATTCAATAATTTAGATAACATCATTCGGGATACGATAAAATAAAATCGAGTTTGATTTATTATTTAATTGCAATGTGTATCCGATATATTGTAATACTATATTACTGTGCATATTAATGATCTACTTTTACAAATAACGTTATCCTCGCTTTTATAAGTCTAACGGTATTTTATTTTATTCAAAATAAGATTTCGAATAAATTAATTTGTCTAATTTAGTTAAAAAAATATAGGTAGTCAACCTACACTTTGAGTATATTCTTGGTTGTTTAAATTAATAAAAACAAAAAACAGAAGACACAAATTTCATTCGTGTATATTTGTAGATAAATATTCCGAGTATCTTGTTTGTAATCAACTTGTTAAATATTAAAGGCTTAAAAATACTTAAACACTAGCAGTTTTAATTATAAACAAAATTTAGCGTTGGAGTAAATTTACGCTGAGACTGTGCTTAGTATTAGGTAGTCAAAATTTATAATATTAAACAGAGACTTAACAAAGGTTAACCTAGTATGAGATTCTACGAGAGTAAAAGTTACTCCTTGAAGGTAGAAGGTTTGCTTATTCTCTGTAAAATTTGAATTTGGAATAATACTAAAGTTAATTTTGCCAAACCGTGTTTATTAATATTAGTGTAAGACTAAAGACATTTTCTTGATATAACAGAAATAAAGTCCTAGTAGCCTTTATCAGATGATATAAAAAACATAGTATCAAATGTTGTTGTAAATTAATAAGTAACTGGGTGGTAATAGTTAATGATAAGTTAACATGTTTTTTACTGTCATTAAACATTCAAACGAGATCATTGAACTTAGTCGAGTGATAAAGAAAATTCTTTTGTACAATAAAATTTTTCTTAGTCCAAAAAAGTGTAACGTTTTAAATTGTCACACTATGTTTCATGCCATATTTGCCATTTTTTAAAAATTTTAGTATTAATCAAGCCATGCTATGCTGTTCTATTAAAAATAGCCTCAAAATCGTCGTCGAACGCTCAGCTGTCGTATCAACAAAGATCAATGGAAGAAAACCTTTATTTTTCTTTGAAGTGGGGTTTATTTGATTAAACCTCTATGCTATGAAAAAATCAAAATAAACGAGATATAAGTCTATGAATTCGTGGCTGTTTCATGATAGAATAAGGGTGTGCCGATACCATCAAAGTATCAATATTTTCACTTAATGTGTCGATACGAACTGATGTCGATACTTTTAGCGAAGTGTAATTAGAGAAACGAGATAAGGAACTATAATTTTATGACGGTAAAAATGAATAGTAAAGAAATTATTTAACTTATATTTATTTGATTAAATAAATACAAAATAAACTCTTTAGCGTCAGAATTTTCCAAAACCATTTACTGCTTAAGTATTTTGGAGATAATCTATTCCTTGTAAAACAAGCACTCACACGCAATGAATGGCTCTCTCCTTCTACCTGGCACTTGGAAATTCGGATATTTTAATTAAGGTCAGTCTGATTCGTTATGTTACCAAGTACTTTTGTATTATGATTCGATGCTATCAGAACTTGGTATCGAATATATTTGTAGTATATTTACTAGTACCGGAATGTCCCTAAACAGATAAGCACTGCTGATGACTATAACTTAAGTTTCGAAAGTAGCTTTAAAAATTAATTCATTTTATACGATTGCCTATAAATCACATACAAAATCTCTATAATTTTTTTCTACGTATATATTTTTTCTTGCGAAAGTTATTACGATTGCTTAGCGTTATTTATGACAAGAGCAATAAGAACAATTTTCTGCCTACAATTTCAGCATAAATTACTTCATAAATAATATTCTCATTTATAGGGTTTCCATTCCAAGATTCATTTTCGGTTACATAGGATAACGTTCGTAGGTATGTAGAGCCGAAAAAAAATATTAAGATCTGCAGAAGCTCCACCAATTATGCAAACGGCCGATCTGACACAGGCACTTTGCTAATAGGACTTCCAATTTTCACATTTCCACAGCCCTATCTGTTGGACAAATTGGACAATTTTCAGAAGATTTATGCACGAGAGATTGTCAGCATATATTACTGCTATAAATAAATACAGCACTATTGTCTATTGTAATCGGGTAAATTGTATTAATAGCAAATATGGTACAGTTTATTTATTCTTATATAGAAAGAGGAAGAATTTATTGTTTGTTTGTATTAAATAGTAGTAGTTTGTATTAAGTAATAGTAATAGCGATCTATTAACGCACTGCCCAAACCACTGGATGGATCGGGCTGAAATTTGGCATGCAGGTAGATGTTATGACGTAGGCATCCGCTAACAAACAATTTTGATCAATTCTATCCCCAAGGGGATAAAATAGGGGATAAAACTTTATTTCAATTATTTTTCACGATAAAATGAATAAATATTCGTTAGAAATTTAGAAATTCGGACGGGCAAAAGCTAGTAAACTAATAAAACTATAAATATATATACACCTTCTTCTTGAACAACTTTGTATTTTGATGAAAACTGCATTAAAATCTGTTGTTAAGTTCAAAAAATCTTGGCGTAAAGACAGCGACTTTTTTTTACAAGATGTATATATGTGTAGATGTACGAGGGTAGTTTGAAAAGTTCTCGGCCTGATCGAAATTTGAGGGTAGTATGTAAACTAATTTATTGTCACTCGATAGCTCGATTCTTTATGTAATCGTATGTCAAGTGCCATTATATTGAGACAAGGGGAGGAATATGAAGAAAATTGTAATTTTTTTTTATCGTATATGTATAGGTATACCAGTACTTTAACATTTTTGTTATTGTTAAAGTAAATTGGTGCAACCGAGAATAAAAATAAAAATAGAACATACGAATAGATACTTTAAATTTTTAAAACTGTGAAATATATATCCTAAATATGTACATTCTTCATGTTGTTGTCAACTTTGAATTTCACTTCAATTTTGTTGCAGAAAAAGACATAACTATGCCGTTTATGACTTAATTTCATGTTTATTTTTTTAAATAAGATAGAGTATACGAATTGATCCTATAGAAATTTCATCAAATTCATTCAGTAATTATATCGAAAAAACGACAATAAAGCGTCATCTGAGTAATATGAATGAGAATGAAATGGGTTTTAGTTAAAAAAAAGGAAGTCTAGTTTACCTTATTTTAAATAAACATCATCTTAATTAAGAGTATAAACTTAACAAATTGTTTAGAAACGTTAGAAACGATCTCGAGTAACTTAGTTGGATCTCGCCTAATCAGCAGAAGTTCGTTGGTTCTAGTTGTGCCATCAGTTTTTTAAATATAGATAAATAATATAACAAAAACATAATTCAGTCGTGAAACAACATTTACTTTTAAATATACGTAGAACACACATTAAGTTTGATAGGGTTTTATAAAGTTTTTGCTAAATAGCAGGTTGACATTGAGCTTCCTTTAATCTGACCTTTAACCTGTCTTTCAAAAGATTCAAATTGTATCGATTGGGGAATACATTAGCAGATAGAACATGCCACTCTCTCGAACTTCGTCGAATAGAAGTCACTGACTCTATTAAATGGATCGTATTTACTTGTTGCAGTTTGCTGACTTTGGTTCATGGGTCGAGCGAATCAAACTTATACACAGGAGTAAGTAATTACACGTTTTCTGAGGATTTTATATTTGGAGTTGCAACAGCTGCTTTTCAAATTGAAGGAGCTTGGAATGAAGGAGGTTAGTTAATTTACCGTTACAAATCTGTGTCGTTTATTTTTTCATTGAAAATATGATACGCAGCATAGATTTCTATTTATATGACTGTTAAAAAAAATACCGTAGAGCTTTGATAAACTCTAATTTAAAATGAAAGACTATATAATATGCTATTCAATATGACGTAGTGAGTTACTATGATTCCTGATTTACTATTTCCTTTTCTTCTGCTGGCACTTCTTTCCATAATTCTGTTTCTTATATTGTACCTTTAATAATTTTAATTAACATCTATTTCTAATGAGTTTAGTTGCAAATCCAACTAGACGTGTCGATCCTCTACTCACTTCATAGAAACTTTTACAATTGCAACAATTAAAAATAAAATAAATCAACTGCTAATCTACTGATAGTTAGTAAAAAAAAGTTTTTTTTTTATATAATTAATGATTTTTAACTACTCACTTTTTTACCACAGGTAAAGGAGAAAGTATTTGGGACACATATTTACATAAAAATCCAAATTTCACATTAGATAGTTTGAATGGAGATGTTGCAGCAGATTCCTATCACAAATATGAAGAAGATATAGCTATGATCGAAAGCCTCGGAGTCAAGTACTATCGACTTTCCATATCATGGCCGAGGTGAATTAAAAAACATATATATTTAATTCCTTGTATTGTAGATCTAACGTTATCGATAAAAGACGGATTTTCCATTTACTGTAACAAAGTTAAAGTCAAATTAATATTTATCGAAATGTACTTAATAATAATACTTCTGAAAAATCAAACATTTTTTACGTACCACCCTTTCAAGTCGTCTTTTGACGAATAAGAAAAACAAGCGAATGAAACTCAACAGAACTAACGACATTTATAAAAACCATGTCAGTACCGACTCAATGTAAACAATATGAATTATATTTTGTGTAAAAAATAACAGACTTTAAGAAGTGGCTTTAATTTTAAAACAAAAAATAAAAATCTATGATATTACAATGCTAACATTACAAGCGACATGTTAATTCTGAAATATAATAAGTATCTTTAATGAAAAATGCTTAAAAATTCCTCCAGTCCCTGGTACACTAAGATGGGACTCGAATCTACAACCTTAGGCAATCTGGGCCCATCTCGGAATACTTGAGGCAGGTGGATTTATTATGCGATTTTCAAAGATATTTATCTGTATAGCATTATGAATGTAAAATTAATGAAAAATATTAATAATAGAAGAAATCATCTACTTAAATTACTGAAAGACTATGAGTCCATGCATTTTTATTTGCTATATAATCAGATACCATATAAGCTTTCTTAATGGGTATTTTTAATAGGAGATATAAAAAAAAAGTTATTTGAGAGAAGGATGCAGGTATAACGGTTAAACTATTCGATTTTAGTGATCTATTTTGTTTGATTCCTGACATAAATGTGTCAAGTCACTTCGCTTTCAATAGTCATAATTTTATCTGCTAACATGCAAATCAGTCGGGTCCAAATTATGCAGGATGTTAATACAGGTATAGAGTAGTGGAAGTAGACAATCTGTTTTAACCTCATCCTAATTCACATTTGGACAGTTTCTGAACATCCATTATTTTAATATCTCAAGTTATATCAACAGCTCCATAGACGCTTAAGGTTAATATTCTATTTTATTACACAAATCTTATAACTATGGCAGGTTCGACGGGTAATAAACATCATATACGACCGATGTGATGTTGTTTAAAGAAATTGTCAAGATTTCATTATTTTTCATTGTTAAGGAATGGAATTATGTAGCATTACCTTAATAATGATTATGTTTATAAAAAAAACTTTTTCACAATTGTACATAGGCGGACTTGATACCTTAGGTACTCTCTGTCGGTACACCTTACTAATATTGCGCTATTTTTAAGTATATGAACAACTACATTTATTACAAAGTATGATACGTTTTAACAGACAAAGCTAATTTTAAAGTAAGCTTTTATATATAAGTAGGGTCACTTTAGCTTAATAAGACATGATCCTGATATTTTCTGGCTCAATACTCATTTATCTACGACCACTTTAATAATTCGCTGTTTACAAATTTTGTTTTTATTTTCTTTTCTTTATTGTGTTACTATTGTAAGAATCTTTGGCTGTTACAGAATTTTACCTCAAGGAACAGACAACTACATTAGCGAAGATGGCAAGAAATATTACAGGACGCTTTTTGAAAGTCTCTTAAAAGCTAATATAACACCAATAGTTACCTTATTTCACTGGGACATCCCTACACCTTTAATGGATCTTGGAGGGTGGACTAATCCAAAAATAGTTGATTATTTTGAAGATTACGCTAGAGTCGCGTTCAATTTATTTGGTGATTTGATCAAAATATGGACTACTATTAACGAACCTCATCAGCATTGCATTAACGTGAGTGTCATTTATCATCATTATCACACAACAGTCGTACGACGCCCAATGCTGCGATTGAGCCTCCTCCATAGATCTCCATGACGATCGATCGTACGTTGCCCGCATCCAAGGGCTTCATGCGACCTTTATAAGATCGTCCGTCCAACTGGTGGCGGGCCTACCCACTGAGCGTCGTCTGGTACGCGGTCGTCATTCTAAAACCTTACCGCCCTAACGGCCATCGGATCTTCTAGCTATGTGGGACACATAGCCCACTGCCATTTCAGATGAGCAATTCCTCGCCAATGTCAGTAACGTTGGTTCTCCTACGGATTTTTTCGTTCTTAATACGATCTCGTATAGCAATACCAAGCATTGCTCTCTTCATTGTCCTCTGGGTGAACTTGAGCCTTCTTATGAGACCCAAAGTAAATAACCATGTCTCCCTTGTCTTTCATATTTTATTATTATTTATTCTCTGTATAATTGGTTGTACTTAATTTTATATACTGTAGTTCGAATTATTTGAATATTTATTGAAAACTTGAAAAAGATTCAAATGATATCACATTTCGAAAATCTATTACATCAGAGTCTTGCAATCGTATTTGTGTATTCATTTTTCGATCCAATTTCAACGTGCATTTAGCTACATCTGTTGTTATCGTATATACAATATACTTTTGTATATGAAATTCAGTATGAACTCTAGCTTACAATGAAGACATATAAATTTTGAGAGAGCACTAATAATGAATTTGCTTAGGGTACATTTTTTCTTATGGTTAATATCGTTATTTATTATCATCATTAGCTCATTAATGACCCTATTGCTAGGCACAGGCTTTTCCTGTCGATAGAAACAAATAATTAGTTTTAATATATAAAAAAAACAAAGTATAGTTTATTGCCAAAAATCAGTATATCACCGGATAGTAGAGGCTTTGGTTTTCCTTTATCTCTGATGTTAGTAGTTCAAAAAGAGAGAAAAAAGTCTGACTAACAGTAAAGAACAAAGTTTTCAAATCTGTGTACTGATCAAAAATATTTTCTGTATAAGAAGTGGCAAAACAATTGTAACTTTGGGTGTTAAACAATCATAAACGATAGATTCCGTTAAGTAATTGTTATTCAACAAAGTTTCAACTGTAATTTTGTTATTTCTATATAAAAATAAGTATGCAGCATTGACTCCAATAATAAAATAGGTTCACCGTTGACAGTATTTAGAACCAGAATATACCTTGATATTTCTTTGCCCTAATGATTTTTACGTTGTAAATTGTCCATAATGTTTATCAAATTCAAGTACCTATAACGATAAATTCCGCAATTGAATCTTCTAAGATATTCGATTACACAGCTGTAGGCTACATTGAATTAGTTGTATACGATAGAATTCAGAAACATGTTGAGGTTCAAAACTCGAATACCAACCACTATCTTGAATCTGTTAAGTTTCTTGATACCGCTCAAAGTAGTGATTACCCGTGAAACAAGTTTACAGTACGGTGAACTTATCTATTGCAACTTGATCACTAGCCTAATATAATAAGAATTTATTTGAGGATCTCCTAAGATTGTTCGGTCGACGATGCGGAAATTAAACAAGTTTCGCAAGGGCTAATCATGAGCTGGGTGACTAAAAATACTATCTCCAATTTCTCCTTGTTTCGGAACGCGTTTTAAGTTTAAACACGTTTTCTACATAGTTGTAATGTAGTGAGTCTCTACTCCTCAACTTTAATGCCTATTATCTAAGCCATTATTTGTTAAATTTAGGCAAGAAAAAAATATGTATGTAATACTTATCTGACAGATTCACTAGTTTTTTTTTATTTTATTACTTTACCTAGACAACATTTGTATAACATAACACAGTTTTATATTTTTCTGATTATACTACAAATATGTTACATAATAAGAATACAATTTTATCCCTTTTTTCTTAGGGATATGGGAATGTCTTCTTTGTACCAGCTCTAGACTCGCATGGCATTGGGGAATACTTGTGTACACACTACATACTGTTATCACATGCACGTGCTTACCGTCTCTACCATAAAGACTTTCGGCCTCACCAACATGGTATGTTATTGTTTATATTGCTACTTATTTCTTCCTTTTTAAAGCTAGGCTATACATAAAGTATGGAAGTGAGACTCCAAAATTTCAGAGAGTAAAACAAACGAAGTTTAAATATAAAGAGCAGAATTCGCATAATAATTGACTGCATGATTGAAGAGAAAAGAAAGGCTTTGTTGGTTATGTGAACAGAATGATAGAAGAAAAATATAATGATATACTTCACAAACCTGTAACAATTTATGTAGAAGCCGAAGAAAACCAGATAATGTTTTCACGATCAAAGCATCGCGCCTAAAGAAGTAAATGAAATTCGAGACATATATGATAGAGTAACTAATGTCAATGAAATGAAATACATGTTTAAAAAACATGTCTTGTGGTACCTAATGTGATACGTAATATAAAAAAGACAAAAAAAAATCAACGAACATTCAAATTATTACCAACTGTCTTGAAACAAAAACAGAAATTTCTCAAATTGATCGAATATTTTGTGTGAAAATCGGACCCGGGGGTGAATTTGTGCAAATTTTCACTTTATTTGTGCAAAAAAAGTTTAAATAAATTAATTTTTATAACATATAAATAAATGTTATTTATAATAAATAAAGAAGTATTTAACAAGTTTTTTTTTGTCACATAGGAAAAATCGGAATAACTTTGGACTCGTTTGGGGTCAATCCAAAAAATGAATCCAACCTAGACGATCATATCGCTGCCGAAGAATATTTACAGATGCATGTAAGTAATAATATTGAACGTATTAAATAATAATGAACGTAGTTTAACTAATGATAAGATTATGATATAGATTAGATATATAGATTAGATTAGATATGATAATGATTAAATGAAACTTTTAAGTCTCTTCAATAAATTGACCGTAGAATATGGCGATGACCTCCATATCAGAGTGAACACTAAAATTTAAACATTATAAGTAAAACATTATACCGAATCACAATTATTTTAACTTTATACGAGTAGAAATAAATGAACTGATTTGAAATCATCTAATATAACTATTAAGTTTACATTTTGTAGGAACTTGACGTACTGTCGTGTACCTAGCATTCCAAATATCGCTTAAGTCAATACTCTCATTTTCATTAGAACTCTCATTTGGCTTATTATAGCATATTTATATAAAGTATCCATATTCAAAACTCACTTGACTCTTGAGAAATATCACACTTTTTTTATTTTCAACCTATGTCCCGACCTAGGGTAATGAACATTTCGAATTAAATTTCCTATAAACAGTGAAAGCCGCATCGAACTGCCGGCCGATGATGAGAGAGACTTTAATTTACGAGTATATTCATGAAATAGAATTCAAAAATTTATAAGAATCGGAATGCTGCAAGCTGCAAAAAATCAAGATTTACCCTGTTAACAAAATTATTGTTGGTATACAAGTAGTGGCTCTAACAAAGATTTGCGGAGTATCTTTATAGTAATGTGTACCTATTTGCATTCATTTTTTCTTTTTATTAATTCTTTTTTTTTTCAACTAGCTTGGCCTCTACGCACATCCGATTTTCTCAAGCACTGGCGATTACCCCAAATTCGTACGTAATAGAGTTGATCATATGAGCTACGAACAAGGATATACGCGATCCCGTCTTCCATATTTCAGCGAAGAAGAAGTTAGTTGTCAACTTTTTATTAAAATAACAACATCATTATATGTTGTATAGCATCAATGGATTTCTGGGGAACATGCCTTTTGTACGGATGGAACCGATTCGAAGAGGGTGAAAGGCCATGATCCACCCCGCGGTCCCAGTGGAGATTGGTAGGTGTTAACGCATGCAGATGCAGCCGGGATCAATTGCTAACGTGCCTTCTGAAACACGGAGGAGCTCGAGATATTAATTGCTGGTCATCCATCATATGATGTGCCCTTGCGAAAGTAGTGCTTAACTTTCGTCATTCAGACCGCAAGCATGACTGCTGCGCTGATAGAATACATCAGCGCATGACTGCTGCGCTGATGTATTCTTTGTAAAATTAATTAAATTCTCTATTAAATATTTTTTGACTTAAAATATATAAAAGTTGAATAGTTTATAAAAATTACGCGTTGCTTTATGACACGTTTTTGATGATTTTATACAAGATAAATTTGTACGTATTTGACTGCATATCATCAGTCCTTTTACATCCCCACTGCAGGGACTCAGACCTTCCTTATGGATAGTTGAGGAGAATGGCCGTTATCCTCCACGCTGGCCCGATGCGAGTTGGAGTGTAGAAATTTGATTACCAATATCCTTTTTTTATTCCAGATAGCACTATTAAAAGGAAGTTCTGATTTCTTTGGGTTGAATCATTATACAACTTACTTAATATCACATTGTTCATGGGATAAATCATGGAGGATTCCTTCGCTAGACCAAGACAATGGAGTTTGCTTAGAGCAAAATTTGACCTGGACGAAACCAGGTGCCGATTGGTTCACAGTAAGTACCAATCTCTACGCCTTTGTTCCTGTTAGAATATGCAAAGCCCTGTAGATAACTTAGATGGCATGGAAGTTGTGTTGCATTACAATCTTCAACCTTATCTTTTTGTATTATATGTGTTATAAGAAAAACACATTGTGCATACTATACCATCTGACGCAAACAATGAAGGTTATACAAGATTCTTATTGATGAATCCAACTCTTTTTTTCTGTTCTGCGATCCAGTAAGTGAAGTTTTCGCGGTTAACATTGGAAGATTACTTAAAAATAACTGCAATGCATTCTATTCTCGAAAATGGCGTTCAGGATCAAGATGGGAATACTCTGATCCGACATCCCTGGGCATTTATGCCACTGAGAACTAATATGCCGTGTTTTTTTAATGGAAAAAAATGTTTATACTATTCAAATTATGTAGGCCCCAAACCATGCTATTCCGTTATGTATGGTTAGTCAAAAGCAGATGAATATATTGATGATAGGGCAATAAATTATCTAATCCTGCTAGTTTCATCAAGAGACGCAACAGTTAGTCGGTAAATATGACAGATTTCTAATAATGTCAAAGTTTCAATTCCAATGCTCAATAAAATATGCTACACTCTTCTTAAATATTGGCTGTTGAATATATACTTTGCATTTATTATGTTTGAGGCAGTTTCCATTCTTTAAATGAGATAAGGATGTTTTATAAAAAAACAGTTAACCACTTAAGTCTACATAATTAAAAACAGTTGCGGCATCTGAGATTTGCCGACATTTATTTGCATATCATGTACGTCAATTTTTATTTCCAAGCGTATTAAACTAGTTTATTTTTTATTCAGGAATATTTATTTCCGGTTTACATTTGTTTGCTTCAGTCTAATACTTAGTGAATACAGTTTTCTCTACCAAATAAAGTCCCGTTATAATGTATACGACTGGTGTACAAGCCAATTGCATTATTACTTTTGTCAGTTTGCATTCGCTTGCAAGGATAACAACAAAGTAGGCGATAAGCCAGTCCCGAATACGGTAACTGTCGAACTCGGGTCAATAACCTATAAAATTCATTGTAAACAAAGCAAGGCATACACACATTCAATAATTTATACTTTAAAAAACTTTCTAGCATACAAAAACTTTACTTATACTAATATAATAAAAAGGAAAGATATTTTGTTTTTTTTTCTGTGAAACAACTTGACCGATTTAAAAAATAGGAATGACAACAATTTTTTTTTGTTTGTCCGTCAGTAAAATTGTTGAAAAATTTTAAACAGATGTCAGAAACCTTCACCAGTTTTATTTTAATTTAATACATGGTGACTCGCAGCTCAAATTTATAATATTAATTATTTACGACCTGTTTCCCCTTGACTTTGACTATGGAAACTATAGCCTATGTTGACATAGGCTATAGTTACTAGCGGCAGGCTCCTGTTGGAGCCTTTTCGATGCTAAAAAAAAACACGAATTGCAGTTCATTGTAAAACTTTCTTTTAATATGACGTCAGCTTCTTAACTTTACCAATGAATAGGAAACGGTAATATTGTACAAGAATTGTGATGTAACATTGATTTTATGTCGCAGGTTTATCCACCGGGTTTCCGGAAAATACTCAACTATATCAAGAGAAATTATGGCGATGTGCCAATTATAGTGACTGAAAACGGATTATGCGATTACGGAGGTCTTGAGGACTACGAGAGAGTATCTTATTTCAACAAATATCTGTACCAATTGCTACTAGCGGTCAATGTAGACAAATGTAACGTCATAGGCTACTTCGCCTGGACGCTAATGGATGACTTCGAATGGAATGACGGCTATGTGTGAGTAAAGAAAATTAATTACAGTAATGAATCAAAGTTGGAAAACTGAACAAAAAGGTGATATGTCACACTTTTGATGTATCTGATTGGATGATTAATTGGCAAGATATTATGGATGCGTTTACAAATAATTATACCTCGTTCAATCTTTCTAGGTAACAAACAATTGTTATTTTATTGACTAGGAGTAACATTATAATACGCACTATAGGTATTTTTAGTTTAAAGAAAGTAAATGTTTTATTGACCTTCACAAGCGGTACTCACACAAATTTTACCCTTACTTCAATTCTATAGGATACCAAGTCTTTATTGATTTTCACCTAATATATCTATATATATATTCAATTAGGCGACACTGTTTTTCTAGTAGTAGTCTTTGTGATGTAGTCCTTCGACAAGTTTGGTGTGTTGTTTCCTCATATAATTAACAATGAAATGTTATAAACAAAAAACAGGCACATGAACGACCGTGTTTATTTTTCTTCATCATACATAATCCATTTTCGTATCTGTCAACTGCCGGATATAAAAATCTTTATCTTACTTAATTGAAAGACACGTCAAAGTTACGAACAAAATGTATTAATAGTGGTTATGTTGAATATTTTTATTATTCTTATATTTTGATCTTGATGTAGGAGCGATAAGCGATAAGCAACTTTCGCAATGGCTGGTCGTAGGATGGGTGACCGAAAATTTATTATATTGAACTCCTCCGTGCTTCGGAAGGCCCGTTAAGCCGTTGGTACTGACTGCATCTGCAATCACGAACACCCACCAATCCGCACTGGAACCGCGTGGTGGGTTATGGCATATTTTCTCTCTTCGATTCCATTCATAGGGAATGGCCTGAGTCCCAGCAGTGGAAAAATTAATAGATTGCTGAATATGATGTAGGAATTTGATTTGACAGTTCGTTATATATTTCAAACGTAAGAAGCTTGAAATATGTATATTGTTTAAATCTTGAAACTTCAACATTCCTTGTGAATGTAATTGTTCTGTGAATATTAGATAACTCGATAATTCGTGTCGTGTCTCACGATCAGTTATTATCATTAATTAATGGATATTAATAATCTATCATCGAATATTTATTGTAACGCAATATTAGTTGGACGACCTCCATGGTAGTTTACACGCCGGTTTCAAGGTGCCGCTATTTCTAATGTCCCTGGCTCAACTCTCGGCAGAGGTTTTAAATATAAAGTTTGTATTTATTCTCGTGTTCACTTAGTTAGGAACGATAATAGATAGCAGATATAACGAAAAATTGTAATGATATATATGTATTGTATGTTTCTTATTATCAAATATCATGTTTTTTTCTTAACAAAATTCTTGATTACATCTTCAATTACAATATACCGATATGCTATATCTGTACAAAAAATAGCTAGGAAAAAAAAACTTGTTCAAAAATAAATATTACAACAAGGTTTTATTGTTGTAAACAACAAAAGCCCGAATACCTCCAACTCCACATATAAAGCGATTTGAAGGCAAAAATATTTCATCGGCAATTTAATGTTTTTCGGGCGTCCTCGTGTCAGGGGCGTGTCAGATTAAGAAAAAAAATATATAGACGGAAAATCCAGCTGCGCCGTATAATAGCTATGGGTATATAAAACTAGTTTTTCCCCTGAGATTTGAATGACATATAAATACTTGGATAAAGGGCCTTTTCCTATAAAAGTTTTATCCTCATAGGTTAGCTGATCCTATTTAGTACGCAACACCTGCTTATAATATTTTATTATACTGATATCTTCCCCATTGAGATATAAACGTTTGGCAGAAGGCCTTCTTTAAATATGAGTCCAATCAATATTTAACTTATATATTAATATTTTTCTTATTAACACACGGAATTTTTTTTAATGTTTTGTTTTTTTTCAAAACCCATCTGGTGACTTTGAGTAATAAGATGCGCTCCTAACTGTACTTATAAAACGTTTTAATTTGATTAAACCTATATGCTGTAACAATGCTGTGTTCGCAGTCGAGCTCACCACTGAACGTTTTATAGAATAGTAATAGTATAGCTGATCCCGAGAAGGTAATGGATTTTGTTAGGAAAATCTAAAATAACAAAGGTACCACAAAACCCAAACCTAAGATAATGTTGTAATTTTTTTTTTCTATGTTATCTGAACTGATCCGGCTACGGAGGTCGTCATTTTGTGTTAATATGTGTTACCATACAACAAAAAATATATGTTTGGTAACATTTTTATTGATATCAACATCCTGTTATAATAAATATAAAGGAGACCAATAGATTGTAATAACATTGTGGAAGCCGTGTTACAAGGCAGTGTTGACATTACCAATTTTCAGCAAATTTATTTAGGAAAAATCAAACTTTAATCGACAAAATAAAAAAAAATAAGCCTACTACGGAGTAACGGTCAACGAACACAACAAAACAAAAGATAAACGAAAAAAAGCAAATTACTTGTGAGTCTTAAAATGTTAATCAATTTGCACAAATTCGAGAAAAAAATGATATATCTTGGTTCCTTACTAATCAAACGGAGTAATAGAAAATAAGAAATTTGACTTGTGAAGTAATTTGTATTGTGATTGATAAATTTCCTATACCCACTTAAATTTGCTTACATAGGTACTGTTTATAAGCTTAATGACTCATCTACACTAGTCTATAGGGTCAGCATGAGGCGTGCGGACGACCTCAGCGCGCTTATCTGATTGATCAGTAAAACAATAACCGATAAGTGAAAACCAGGAACAGAAATAGGCCACACACCGCACGACAATGTCATCGAATAGTGTAAATGTCAATAGTGCCAAAATACCACAGATAAAGTAATAGACCGTGTGTTTACGTTGTGATGAGGATTTAGATAGCGAAGAAGTTAACCCATTCGGTCAACGATACGAAAGATGAGCAAAGATTGCAAGAGCTGATTATGGGTGATCATAAATTTAATAAAACCTTGTTTTAATAAGCCGTTGTTCCTGGCTGCATCTTCAGTCGTTAAACCTATCATTTCTATTGAATTCCATTCGATTCCTCCCATGGGAAAGACCTGTGCTCCAACAGTAGTGACAGTAGGCTGATGATATAGATTATAAAGCACTGTGTTGATATAAATAGCTTTGCCTCTTAAATGAAACAACTTTTGACGGATTCATCGCGTTTGTATTTTTTTATGACCTTTACGATCCTTTATAGGTTCCGTGTTCAAATAAGAGATAAATCTTTCATTAAATGGAAAATGCGCGTGAAAATATAAGAAATCAATATGCTTTGGTTCTTTCACTCACACTAAAAGTCACTTTGAATTGAAGTGAACATATAGCTAATATGTAATAAAACAATTGTTATAAGTGTCGTACAAGTGAGACCAATATGCAATAAAGCAAAATATTAGCAGTTCTGTTGTACCACTCTCTAGACCTTTACCTAAACTAAATAAAAATCGAATTTTTAATTTGCGTTTATTTTAACGTTATTTCTTACCCCTGTACGCTTTAATAAGTTTTTTTTTCTATTAACTTAGCAATAAAACAAACAAAGATTAGCATGTGCAATAAAACTGCTGCCATTATATGTATAATAAGAAACGCTTTACAGTGAAATATTTGTATATATTTTTTATATTTGTTTCAGAACCAAATTTGGGCTATTCCATGTAGATTACAACAGTCCAGAACGCACTAGAACACCTAAACTTTCTGCTACAAATTATGGACATATAGTGCGAACGAGAAAGATAGACTTCGATTTTATCAAGCCACCATTGAAACAACAAAAGCTATAAGTTAATCGACTGTATAAAGATTAATCTTATTAATTAATCTATAATTTAAAGATTAATCTTATGGATTCGAGTGAAAATATATGTAAATAATAAAGTGTGAAGTGAAATACTGGACTGACTGGATAGAGATTATATTTTATATTTAAATTGTAGATTTAATGACTGAAAAACAAATAAAATGTTATAATTTTAAATGAGATATGGTCATTTGAAGTTTCATTTAGACAATTTGAAAAAAGCTAGTTATTGTTCGCGATTACGTGTGCGCGAAATTAGTATTTGCGGGGCCTATTATTCTCCCAGGTTTATTTTTATTATTTTTAGATTAATTTACAAGAAAAAATAGTTATAACGTGGAAAAATAGTATCTTCGTACAAGAATATAAGTAAATAAATCATTCCTGGTACAAATTTCTATCCTTATTATTTTTAATATTAACCGGGATAGAAAGCTCGGTGGCGTAGTGGATAAGCGCCACGGCCCACGACTTTCGCAAGGGTCGATCACGGGATGGGTGACCAAAAAATTATTAAATCGAGCAACTCCGTGCTTCGGAAGGCACGTTAAGCCGTTGGTTCCGGCTGCATTTGCAGTCGTTAATATCCTCCAATCCGCATTGGGCCAGCGTGGTGGGTAATGGCCCATCCTCCTTAACCATCCACGTAGACAAGATTTTTTGTTCTCTGGATACTAATCTACTACTTCTCGCTACACTATATAAAGGTATTTTAAAAATTGATATACTTACTCTTTGATTAAAGAGCTCTTTTGCTCTCTTTATCTAAGTATTAATTTCCTTTTTAATTACGAGACACACAAGTTTAACTAACAGATAAAAAAGTTAACCTTTTTTTGAATAACACAAGTCTGCTTTGAACAGGAAATTGCAAAGGTTGGAAAATACTTCAGAGCGGGGAAATAAAATATTTAAAAAATACTGGTGGTAGAAAAAACCTGCACACAAAATATATAATTAATAGGTGAAATATATTATTACGAAAATAACGCCATTTATAAACTATTTAGATTCAATATTGTGATTTTTTTTAGCTCTAGCTCTTATCAAAATATGGAGCCACGGCAGTGGCCGACAAGACGAACCCAACGAACCACGAACTTGCAACCTTTTCTCGAAGTGAAACCCTCATAATTTCAGTTTAGATTTCACCAGAAAAAAGTCTTGGAATGTGAAATAGTGCACGGGCGCCAAGAGGTAGACCTGCTCATGTGTACTTATAGAAAAATAAGAAAAAAATTATATCTTATTAATCTTTTTTATTATAAAATTAAATTCGAAAATCTTCGTAAATTTACACCTTCTATGATATTTTCAAATACCACGACCACAACTTCTCAATTATGTTCAATCTTTTTTTGGTATCGGATACCTAAGTAGCACTACTATTCGCTACAACTCTTAAAAACACCAAAATGCTCGCAGTTTTTACACAAAAAACAATGAAAATGTATTTTTTCCTTAAATTTTCACAGATTTTTACTTTCCGTAATCTTTGACTTACGGTCTTGTAAAAAAAAAGTATGGACACCACTGTGGTAAGTTGTTTTTAAAATTGACTGAACTCGTCAATATTCCAAAATGGTATAATAATCTAAGATAACTAGTCACAGTAAAAAAATATGCACACCATTTGTAAACCAAGAGTATTCCGGGCGTTGGATTGGGCGACTTGGTCCTATCTTATGGCCACCCCGATCACCCGACCTAAACCCCCTGGACTTTTTCTTTTGGGGTTGTCTCAAAGACAAAATCTATGAAAAACCCATTACGACATTGGACGAGCTTCGGCAAAAAATTAGTCAGGCTGCGTCACATATCAATGCTAAAAGGTATGCACGAAAAATAAAACGCTCTTTTTTAAGGCGATGTCGTGCATGTATTAATGCCGGTGGAAAACAATTTGAACATTTACTGTAATGTTAATTATTAATAAATGAATGAGACTAAAACTCACTATTGTTTTATTTCAATATTTTTTTTAAATATTAAAACATTTCGGAACAGTACAATTTATTACTCACAACTTTGGTTCTTGATTCTAAATGGTATGATTTTTAGTTTGTTGCTAGTTATCATGAAGTATTATACCATTGTGGAATCTTCATGAGCTGCGTCAATTTTAAAAACAACTTGCCGCAGTAGTGTCCATACTTTTTTTCTAGATGACTGTGAGTCAAAGATTACGGAACGTAAAAATCTGTGAAAATTTAAGGAAAAAAGTACATTTTGATTGTTTTTTGTGTAAATACTGTGGGCATTTTGGTGTTTTTAACAGTTGTAGCGAATATGAGTACTACTTAGGTATCCGATACCAAAAAAAAGATTGAACATAATTGAGAAGTTGTGGTCGTGGTAGTTGAAAATATCATAAAAGGTGTAAATTTTCGAAAATTTTCGAATTTTATTTTATAATAAAAAGGATTAATAAGATATAATTTTTTTCTTATTTTTCCATAAGTACACATGAGCAGGTCTACCTCTTGGCGCCCGCTTATCGAAGCCCCGATTTCATCACCCGCTCATTTACTCATCGATTATCATCAAAATTTTTAGGTTATTTCCTGAAGTAGTAGAAAGCTGAAAAATAGATGTGAGCTTACCCATTACTACATATTTCTAACGTGTAAGTACACAAATAACAAAAGAATACAAAAAAAACTTTTGTTCCTCACTTTTTTATAAGTATCAAAATGTAGATTTTGGGATTTTTCGTTAGTCACTCCTTAAATTAGAGCATTTTTGTTTTACTTTTTAAAAGGATAGCATTTAAAACTGAGGTTATCAAAACCCTTCATAACGCGTATTTTTAATGTGATTTTGAAATGAAACCCAAAATTAGCTTTAAATTTTTGTTATCCACGGGATCCCTCACTCCCCTAATATTAATAAGAAACGTCTCTTTGAAATAAATATTCTGATATCGCTATTAGGTACATCACTAATTTTTCTCTATTTATTTTTCAATAGTTAACGTTACTTTAAAAGAAACTTATAATTATCTAATTCAAATACTTTGCTTTACTACTAATCATTGTATCTTATTTAAATTATAACGATTAAAGGCTTTGACTCGAGGAGGCTTGTTCTCAAAATTTCTTTGCTAATAGCCGAAAAGCCTATAAAACTATATTTTGAAATATGCGCCTTTTATACCTTTCATAAAATATCTCACTTGAACTAATAATATCTTCAATTTCAAATTTCGAACTAGGGATATCCCTCTTAATAGAGACACGCCGTTAGTACACTGATGCAATCTCATGCGAATGCGTAACATATGCGGATGACGACAGACAGGGTTGTCACCTTTTGAGAAACAAAATTCGTGATGTTCGAATAGTTATTCTGATGATCCGGTCATCAGAATGAGGACCGGGTCAGATGGCAACCCTGAATGCGAAATATATGCGTCTGTGTGTGACGGGTTGGATCTTAGGCGAATTGATGAAAGGCTGACTAAGCTTGAGAATTGATTTATTTTATGGTAAATAAGTAAAGTTTTACCCTTTACAAAAGTTAAAAAACCCTTTTTGGGTTTGCCGTTTTTAATCATAATAACTTCATTATTATAATATTTTAAATTTAAATTTATACGATTTAGAATATCGTGTTCACACAGATACATTTTTACGAACTGACATCCATAAAGGGCATATTGGATTTGTCAAAATTTCAAATTACGAAAGCTGAATAATAAAAGAAATGATGTTAAAAAGTTTGCATGATGAAACCTAGGACGAAATAAATGGTGGTACGGCATACCGTTACATGTGTAACGATATTTTTTGCATTGCCGTACAACTGACAAGATTTCGCAAAATGTTTCGTATTCGTATGTGATTGTGTCGGTGTACTAACGGCGTTAAAGCAAAAAAATATTGCTTTACTTAAAAAGATAACATAGTGATCATTGTCATCAACCTTTTATCATCATCGTCATCCTTTTATTTCATCCCACTGCAGTGGCTCAGGCCATAACCCTCCACGCTGGCTCAATGCGGATTGGCGGGTATTAACAACTGCAAATGCAGCCGGGACCAACGGCTTAACGTGCCTACCGAAGCACGGAGTAGATGATAGTTGCTTAACGACAACGATCGCTTGCCGCGATTCTTATACACTACGCCACCGAGTCTCGAGCTATCCAATAAGGTTATTGAAATGTCTGAAAATGATACAATAAATTTGATTGGGAATTAAAATATTTTTTAATACCGTAGTTTTACGTCACTACACACAGAAAGTGACAAATCGTGATTTCAAAAGTAGCCCAGGCAGGGGCTTTACTGCGTACCTTGACTTCGACTTTATTGACAATGAATTCTACCAAAATACACTTCACACTCGATACTGTATTGTTAGATACAGTGAGTGTATTCTTGCATCGGGTTGTATAAAATACACTCAAAGATCAATACAGTTTTAAACATTAAGTAAATTTCGATCAGATACCAACCAAACTGAGGCCAATTTAGAATCGAGGTGAGTTGTTCACCAATGATCCGATACACTCGACTGATCTCGATGTTTTAGGAATATAGTAGAAATGTAGCAGTGAAGAGTCCACCGAAACAAGTTTAATGTTATAACTGGTCTACGAGAATGAAAGTTTAGTAATCTGTGCAAATAGGTTTTATATCCTCTGATATATGTTTACCTGCTTGTCCGTGTCTATCGTTAAACGTAAAAACAGATAAAAATATGATATGACATTTAATCTATTTTTTTGAGTTGGGGGAATGTTACCACACCTCCCGTGACATGGACGCAACATTGGCGTTGTATCGGACTCTCCTACTGCCTTTTTAGTAGCGAAGACTGTAAAAAGGAAGTAGCGTACCCGATAAATATTATACTGTATCGCCAATGCATTGGAATTAATAAATGCGATGAAGCGACGTCGAGTACTATATTCTGATAGACGCTAGACGGATCTTCTGTGAGATTTACACTATGCGCCGACCTCTAGAGTGAATACTCCTTGATTTACTATTATTTTAATATTGCTTAGGAATTTGAGAAGATTACGATAAATTTGTTTATGCTAATATTAAGTCCTGACATATTAAATTGGCGTTTTGTCGTACTGGCCACTTTAACCACAAATTGCTTCTCCTTGGTTGGGAATTCCAAATTCCAATTTATACACCCATTTACATATGTATATGTGTTTTGTTGGGCGGTATTCATTTGTTGT